TTAGCCAGGAAAACTGGGAAACTTCTGGTATTTGGGGTATTTTAGAAGTGATCGAGTTGAGGGAACAGTTCGATAGCCATGTCTTTCTCAATGACTCTGCCAGAGTTGACTGCACGCTCACACTTTTCTTTATTCTTCTCGTCTCTTGTTAATGTGGGGCTGGAGCAGTGGAGCCATGCTCAGGGGGTGATGCTAGTGTTTCTTGTCATCTTTGTTGGGGGTTTTGCAAAGCCTCAGTAGCATGTCAATTATATATGATGGGTGGAAGCCTAATATTCTGTGATAATTAGAACGTAAGTCTAGTGTGAAATCGGATTAGAGTCCGGCATTACAGTCCGGGATTCCTTTTGTAGTCGGTTCAGAGGAAGTCATAAAGCTCTTTTAAAGATGACACGAGCTGATGTGTGCTAGAGGGCAGAGGCAGGGTGCGAGGATGAGGTGGTGGTGGCCCTGCTTCGCCCCTCTTCCAGGGCAGCAGTTGTTCCCATGTGCAGAAATGGGCTGCGGTAAGCTGGGCTGCTGGAGCACTGGGTGGCGAAGTCCAAGAGTAACGTCTGTGCCATAAAGTGCTTTTGGCTTGTTCGCTGAGCTGCAAAGAAGGGCCAGACTGTGCAGGAGAGTTTTCAAGAAATAATACCCCTCTGCCTCCCAGCTAACTGCTCCTGAAAATTTAGCTGTTTTTGCAGCCAGATGTATTTGGAGTCTGTACTTGGTCAAGGCAATGAGAAGCAGTGTGGGAATGGCATGTTAGCCTGGAAGTCCAGAAACAACATTTTGAAAAGGTCTTGGAAAATTGGTGAAGGGAATTGCTTTTCAGGATAATGGAGCCCCTGAGTTTTCACTGTATGCTTACTCATTCGATGAAAACATGTTTTCCAATGCTTTGCGAAATAGTTACTTGATTTGGAAGAAACTCCATGTGCTTGGAGTCTGCTAAATGTGGCATTTCTGTAATGGCTTAAATCATAAGTTTGTAAGATTACCTTTCTGAGTACATTTCCTTAGATTTGCAGATGGTAACACTGTGTACCATGGCATTTCTATGTTTAACCTCACCACCTCCATTCCCCAGAGGTGTATTGTTAACTAGCCATGGAGCAAAATGCTTTTATCATTTTGGTCCATCACTTCTCTCTATATGGAATGTAATTCTCTCTATATTACATCTAATATAAAATAAAGAGGTTTTGCTGCAACAGGCCACGGAAAAGATCTGCTGCAAGTAAGTCCTTGAGATGTTGCAGGTATGGCGTGCATATGCAGTAGATATTTCAAGTAGTTCTCTGCTACTTAAGCTCTTTTTGCCATGCAGCCCCTGATGTGATGATTGCAAACCCTGCCAAATGATTCAATAAAAAGTATAACTTGAAAGGAAGCTGTGGCAGAGTTATATTTTGCTGTGCTCATATGGTGATAAATTACAAAAGCAGCAGTGTCTTTAGCAATCAACAGTAGATGAAGAGTTGCCTTGTATGGGCATTGTTTGATGAGTTTTAACTTGAGAAATAATTATTGCCGAATGTGTCCTTGACAATGAGCACACACAATGAGTGTTCTTTATATAATGTACATAAACATTGGATATCTGCTTAAGTGGACCTAAACACTCATATTTTTCGCTCCTTTTTCTTAGAGGAGTCCTGGCTGCCTGCAGGAAGCACAGGGAGCGCCGTCTTCACCCTGAGCTCCAGGTTGCTGTGTGCTGGGTGGCAAAGCGTGCCTGTGCTCGTGTGGAGTGCTTGGCAGCGGTTGCTTGCCAGGTTTTCAAGTTCTCATTCCTGTGTGCCAGGCGTCTCGCACTGCTGCGCTCCGATGCATTTGTCTGGCAGCACCGTGCATGTCCGGGGAGACATGGGCTGGTCCCGACACTGTGGCCACTCGCTGCCAGGGTGGGAGGCGATGCAGCGTTGGGATGTCGTGCTGCTCTCTCCCTGCAGGCTTATGCATGGGAGCGAGCCCTGTGCAGGGGACTGCATGGAGGAAGGAAGCACAGAGCCCTGCTAGCTGATGTGAAGTGAAAGCTAGAAATGAGATTCCTTGCAAGCTACCAATGCCTGTTGCTTTGCTCGAGTGAGGGGTACAGAGGTGCTAAGGACAACCCTGCAGAAAGCAGGAGCTTCAATTGATTTCCCATTGGTATCTTCCACTGTGGCATAAGGAAGCTGTAATAAAAGCAGCCCACAGCCCTAAACTTTTAGGGTTTTTACCACTGGGTAATACAGTGCATCCTCCCCTGCATTAGCACTTAGTAGCAGGAGCTCCTCAGCTCCAGACAGAGCTAATTCTTGATCATAAGCCAAGACCACATAGTGCTGACATGACTGAGAAATATCTTCCATAATTAGATTGCTTGGTCATTCATTTTTGAATGACTGAGTTGCAGTTTGGAGCATAATTTCTTAATGCTTAACCAAATAGTAAATCAAGCTTGCACAGATCCTGTCAGTAGTGTTCTCCTTGCCTGGCTTTCCAGCGTGTACCAAAGAAGCACTGTGCAAATGTGATCAAAGAAAGACAACTTTGCTTTGTAATGTTAGCTCCTGATCTATTACTCTGAAATATAAAACAACATAACATAATGGAAAAAGGCATCGTCAAATAGGTAGGATTCTAACTTCAGTTTAGTAGTGTAAATAGATACAAAACTGTTCCTTGTAATTATGAAATATGTTGGGCTTTTTACGTTTTGTTTTTTTTATCAATAAATAAATTGGAGTGGTTGTTAGAGATGGCTGCTGAGGGGATCCCAAGGCATCTGTGGACAACTTCAGAGTGTCTGTGAAACGTAACAAGGAAAAGAAACCCTGCTGTCAGCAGGCTTGAGTTTGCCAAGTAGGGTGGAGGTGTACCCCTCCAGCACAAAATAAAATAGGAGTATGTAAATTGTAATCACCAAAGAAAGGAATCCTTAATGAAAATGGTACTGAAATAATGAAGTGCATTTCAGGTAAGGTATTTCCAACATAGTTCCCCTCCATCAGAAATTTAGAAAGAGTTTCGAGAGTTTTGAAATTAAATTGTTTTGACACGTCAAAACAAGCCGTGGCTGTAGCAGTAATTATCATTTCCTTGCTATTTATGTGTTTTCCGTTGTGTCAAAGAGGCTTAGTTCTGTATTGGAATCGGAGCAAAGGGATGCAAAAAGAAATAGTGTGGCTTTGCCTGGGGAATTTCTTGGTTTTTAAATGTTCGCAAGTGAGGCAGGTTTGTTGGAGAGGTGTTGTGCTCCCGAGGGCTTTGCCTGATGCTGTTGAGTTGCCAGCTGGTGCTGGCTGCAGTGTTTGCAACCTGTGCTTGTAAATCACGGAGGCGGCTTTGGTGGGCAGGATCTAAAAATCCTGGGTGCACCTCTTCCTCCATGCTAAATGGCTGATCAAGCTGAGCACGGCCATCGGTGGCAGAGGCAGTGCCACAGGGCTCTGCGTGCCCAGGCTCAGCTTGGTGTTGTGACCGCCTCGCCTCCCCTCGCTTTAACACGTTGTGCTTGCCACAGGAGATGGTCCTGGGAGGAAAAGGAGTGCACAAACGGGAAGGAAAAAAATGTCTGGAAGGAGATAGCCTTCAGAAAACAAAGAAAAAACTTACTGTCTAAGCAGGGCTGTTTCCTGTAACAGTCCTGGAGATTTCCATAATTCACAAGCAGTCAACAGTCCTGTGCAATAAATTAGTTGTGGCAGAATTATCGGTTGGTCAAGGTCTCTCTGTAATGCCAGAGAAAACAAACAAACCCTGCAGTGCAAAACGAAAATAAGTTTAGGAGCAGAGGTTCTTAGGATGAAGTGTATGTGTTTGTATAAATAATATGTATAAGTTTTTGTTTCCTTTTTGCTTTTAAAAGGACCATAAGTGTCTGAAAGGAGAGAGGCTAATGTTTTTAGGCAAGAAAGTCATGCAAAGTGAACTGAAGGTTGAATAGCTGGGCAGATCATGCAGCTGTGGAACCAGGTGTTTGCACTAGGCTGGCAGAGGAACAACCGCTTGTGTTGGTCTTGGGCTCTTGTTTTGCTCTGTACCAATATTGCTCTCATTTCTCTACAAACACGTCTAATGCTTTAGCAGATCAGGTAGTTATATGGTTCATAGCCTGTCGTGAAGAGATTTTCTGGGCAGTGGGTTGCCAAGTCCCCTGCAGCTCTTGGGGTGAGTCTTGGTGAGCCTTGGCAGTGCTGGAGGTTGCTGCTGACTTTTGGGGTGCGAGCAAGTAGGGAGTAGGCTTCTCCTCTCTATCCCTTCCCGTGGGCTGAAGGTTAGGGTTTGGCAGCAGGGTGTGAAAGTGGGAGGGATCACAGCAGCTTGCATGTAGTTGGTGTCTTCTAAATACTGCCTGACTTGGAAGTAGGAGCTGCTCATCTTAACTGCTTGTTTTGGTCATTAACTTTCAAGGTGAAGGAAGAAAATTGAATTCTCCAGAACAAACACCCAGTTTCACCCAAGGTGATGACAGAAAGCTGTAAAATTAGAAGTAGGAAATGTGATAGGAAAGCCTTGTGATAAGTAGTTGCATAAAACAAATTTATTTTGATGTCAGTGATGACTGTGATTCTGAGAAAGAGCACTTCTCCAGTGATAACTGGAGACGGGGATGAAGACTAAATGGTCTATCTGTGCAAAAAGGACCATTGTCATTGATATTGTGTTATGAATAAACTGAATGAATTGAAAGTAATTACAGTACTCAGTAGAAACTTCATGGAAGATATCATAGTGTAGACAGGTCAAATTGCTGGTTCTTCAGATTATACTGTGCAAGATGAATATCTGTTCATTCAGTTTATTAACTGAATAAATAAGAGGACACTTCTTAATGTTCTTGCAGGATGATAAATCGTGGTATCTATATGTGTTGCTATAAAGCTCTTTTTTAGAATTAACTTCTGATGTGCCAGAGCCCAATAGGAGCATCTCAAGAATAGATGATGCAGCTGTGGGGCCTCATGAGCTGAACTTTTTGCATTGCATAGGGAATTCTAACTTGGAATATTTTCTTCTCTGCTTTTCAGGTGACCACTTGAAAGTCTGCTCGCAAGCCTACACATGCTGCTCTCAAGAAATGGAAGAGAAGTACAGTCAACAGAGTAAACATGACTTCAGAAATGCTGTTGTAGAGCTTAGCAATCACTTACAAACAATGTTTAGTTCCCGATACAAGAAGTTTGATGGTAAGTGCGGAGACCTTGAACTTGATCTCCTTTGCATAAAATTAAAAAAAAAAAAAAAAAAATCCCATCCTGTTGTTCTGTATGCAATTGTTCTCTGCCTCCCCCTTTGCTGGTGAAGTTCATGACTCATAATGGTGAGGGTAGAGCATGGCTTGTTTTGCAATCCCATGTGAGAGTAATACTTGCTGATTACAGTTGTTTGTTTCCTAAAGAGAGATTTCTCTGATTATTCTTTCGAAAAACTATTTTGCTATTAGATTGCAGTTAGTTTTGTTTGCATATCCTCACAGTACACGTAATTGTAATGTTCACATCTCACAGCCCTGATCCACAAAAATGCTGATCTTCCTCGGTCTGTTATGAACCAACATGATTTGTATCCATCTCACTTAGCCTTTAGGGCTAAGTAAAGCAGCAAGTAAATACAGAGATGTCTTTGCACAGAGGCTGAAGGTTCAACTGTGATGCAGGGTCAGAAGAAAAATCAACTAAGTCTCAGCCGAGTTCCCATTGCTCAAATGACACCAGCTACTGACTGATAAGCAAATTTCTGGTCTCAGCATTGCCTTCAGATCAGTGATGCTGAGGCACAGGAGGGCTGCAGTGTCTCCTTACCTTGATGGAAGAAACTTCTTTTGCAAGTACCTTCCATACACCTGTGCCAGTGTCCTGTATTCACTGCGTGCCCCAGCAGCCCTTTAACAGGGAGGGAGTAGTAAGGTGTCAGGCTCCTGCCTGCCTGGGCTGTCCTTGCTGGCTGTAGCGATGAGCTGACAGCTAGCTAGATGTGGAAGTATCTGTTTAGTTAGGTGGGCTGGGTTGCCAAGACTTGTGTTGTGCCCATACAACTTCATTTCCATTTGGTAGCAGAGGGTGATTCCACTGCATAGTTCCTCTGGACTTGTTCTCCCTTGTTCAGTCACTAGAAAATCCATGTTGAACCAATACCCTGAAGTTTGTGTCTTGAACCTACCAGGGACCTCCTCTTTGCTGCTGCAGCAGGTAGGAGACCCTTTCTTTCAAAGGATGTTGGCACTTGGGTGAACGAAAAAGTCCCTGGGTGTGAAATTGCAATGAGTCAAAATGAAATTATGCAATCATCTTGATAGCATCTAAATCTACCAGCTAAATATTTCCCTCTTAACCTCTGTTGTCTCTACCTGCTGGTACACCAAAGGGGTGATAGAGAAAGAACCTAAGTGTCTAGACTTGCAAGCTTATTAAACGCAGAACAAGATACTTAATGAAATCCAGCCCATAGATAAGCCCTTTCAAAGAGGCCAGAGGAACAGCATCTGCTTCACCTTAAATGAATGACAAGGCTGCTTAAAATGCTGCACTGAAAACAAAGAGCATGCCCGGTTCACTATATTAGCATCTCTGACGTGGTGCAGACGTATTGTTAGGTGTGTCTGCTTGTTTTTATGGTGAGAGATGGCTGCAGGGCTGCTTGATGGCAGGGGGGTATAAGGCTAAGCTGGATACCTCTCGAAGTGTAATGCTTCAAAATGGGGGAGATTTTGGTAGGGAGCCCTGCAAAGCTGTTCTGTTTGTGCTATGTGCTGCTTCTGTCAGCACCTCTCAGCATGCCTGCTGCTGGTCTCAACACTGTGGCTCCTCTGATCTTAACCCTGGGAGTCCTTGAAAGGCAAATTTGGAAGGGGATGCTGTGATCCTGTTCCTGGAAGCTAGATTTGCTGTACCCTGCCTGTCCCTGAAGCATGTTTCTCTGCCCTTTATGAGACTAATGAAGAACTAGCAACCTCCTCAACTTGTCCCAAAGCCTAATGGCCCATCTTTGAGCATTTGATAATATCAGATCTAAATCTTCGTTTGCTGTAGACAAAGCTGATTTAGGGATTTTTTTTAATCTTACCTGGGGTAGAAGAAGAGATTAACTGATTACCATCCTCTATCATTTACCTCTTGGAAGACTTTTAATCAAGACTGCTTCCCTCCCACTGACCGAGTCACCTGGAGGCTGAATGCACTCAGTTCCCAGGAGCACTGTTGGTGGTGGCTGAGAAGTGTTCCTCGGAGGTTCTCCAATTCCGTGCAAAAAATCAGCAAGCTTTTGGAGTGCTGTGCTTAGACTGCTTTGGTGTTTTTGCATGTTTGTTTTAAAAGAGCTTTCTGTGGCCTGATAGGCTGTTTGAGGTGGTTGTTTCCTCAGTACAGTCCCTATGCTTGGTCAACTGGTCAGGTGTGTTCTGATTTTTCCTTGCATGCTTGATTTCTCCTTGTCATATGTCCCTTGGGAGGGGCATTCCTTTTCCTGTTTCTGGACCAATACTACAGTTTTCCAACACTTCTCTGAGTTTGGTCTGGCTTTTCTGCCCCTAGGATGTGGCAATCCTTTCCTTTATGGGCTCTGCAAGGATCCCTTTATTCCTTTATCCAAGTGGTTAATGATAGCCTTGGATGGAGTGGAGGCTGGGACACGGCTTTAAGGTGTCCTTCCAGTTTGATGCCCCTGATAATTGTATTTTGGGTGTAACTTTGCATCTTGGTGCACTCTAAAGATAGTTTCAGTGAAGTAACTGGAAAGAGGAAGTTGAATGGGACACGAATCCAATTTGAGGTGCCTTGACAGTTACTTTGATGTAACGGCTCCAGCCTAGAGGAGAGGGAAGTGATCAAGACCTGTGTGTCTGTCCTGACCTCTGGAGATAAGATTTGAAAAGTACGTGATCCCTCCCAAAGCTCTTCCTTTGCATGGGCCCTTGCTTTGATTTTAGCATTTGGAGCTCTTTAGGGCTACCTCATTAGCAGTAGCCAAATCCATTCAAATGAAAGTAAAGCTGACAGAAAATCAGCCATGCATCTTCCTGTTTAACAAGAAATCATCTAAGCTGTGTGGCTAGACTGAACAGGCAAGATGAGTTATTGTGGAGACCCAAATTCCCTTGATTTCACCGGTCTCTCAGCAAGTGGAACAACCACTCCTCTTGCCGGGCAACATCATGGGTGCTTTGGCGACAGCACTTGCAGCTCTCGTGTGACAAGAAGCAACTGTGACCCCCAGCTCTCTGGCAATCTGTGGTGTAGGTTCCCTGGCTGCTAATCTCTTAGCCTTGATGCTCCGGTCTGAGAGGAGAGGCAAACCCGTGCTGCCTCCTTTATGTGCTTGACCTTTGCAGCAGTTGCCAACGTAAAAGGACAGTTGAAGTGGCAGCACGTCCTTTGGATGGAGGCTGTAATGCCTTGTAATGCCTTGTGGCTGTTGGTGTTTGCATCAGCTGTTGCTTAAGCTCTGCGTGCTTTTCTAATGGTTGCCAGAATAGCTCTGATCTGACACCAAAGCCATACACTTCAGCAGTGGATTATCTCCTCTTAATCAGGAGTATCAAACAAATTTCTGATTCTGTCCTTACATGGCTGACCAGAAATCACTTCAGCTCCTAATATGTAATTGTTCAGCATCAGATCCTTCTCTACATGTTTGGTTTGCAGACACTGGGAGAAGACCAAAGCTTTAGAGTCCAGTATCTTGCATATTTTCTTACAGTACAGTTCTGTATACTCCCAGGGTTCTCTCCTGTTGTAATTCAAATTGCTAGCCCAATCCCAGCCTAGCAGCAAAGTATATATTTTCAGCAGTAAGGGACATAAGGAACATACATTTTTAATAATATATACGTATATACATGCACACACACGTATATACTCTAGGTATTGTTGGATTCTCTGTTGGTGCATGTTTTTAAGGTGAAGATATGCTGTGTTTTTTTTCCTGGCATATGTGATCTGAGATGGATGTTCATAAGCTTCACTGAGAAATAAATGGGTCAGATTTTCTGGCTGTAGAAGCATCTCCTTGCAGGACGATAACGGTCGCAGGATGCGGGAGGGGTGGCCAGATGTGGTGCCTGTCCTGGGCTGCCATGAAACTGTGCAGCTGTGACCACATCTCCTGCCACAGAAGTAACTATAGCAGGCAGGGCTTTAAAAAAAAAAAAAAAAGAAGAAGTAGGGGGGAATGTTTAAAATATCTTTTGCTTCATCTATTCTTTGCCAGTCAGTGTCCCTCCTCTTCTCTCTCCCAAGGTTTAATAATGTTAAAAGGATTAATGGTGACATTAAGGCTGTGTAAATACTCAGTCCCTTTTATTAAACTTGAGCTTTCATCTCCATTGCCCTTTCAGGCTGAAGTTTTCCATGCTGGGGGCTGTGCTAGGAGAGCAGTGGTTTGGGGAAGACGAGGTGAATACCAGAACAGAAATTGCTCAGCTGTTTGGAGGAATTGGAGTAGGGGCAGGAAGCAGCAGATAACTCTTCTTCAGCATTTCCGCTATCCGGTTGCTACCGAGATAAAATGTTCTTTGGTTGCTTTTTTTTTTTTTTCATTCTTTAATTAAAGACACCCACTGAATCTCTCAGAAGATGTAACTGTTGTGCCAGGCCTGTTCTAGGGAGAAGTGATGTTTTGTAGGCTTATTGCGACTGAGTGGTGAATGAGGGGAAGGCAAATACCCGAAACGCCATGAGCAGAGAGGGTCTGGTAAATGACTGCTGTGGTGGTTTGAGTCTGTGAAGTGCTGGCTGTTTTATTGTTGCCACTGCATTTAAGAAGCTGTTTCATTTAAACCAAGTCTCATCCCTTTCTTGTGTGTGCTCTGGGTTTAGGAAAGGCAAGCAAGCTTTTGCTTCCCATGTTGTGTAGGAGTATTATGCTCCCATAAGGAGGCAAACGCGCAGTGGGCTGGGCCGACAGTAGGTTTGGTGCTCACTGTGCCCAAGTGACAGGAGGATTTGTCACTTCAGAATTGCTCAGCCACAGCCAGCATCTGGGAAGCTATTAAATGTTGAGTGTCCCATTTCTGCTCTGCTCTTCCCTGCTCCCCTCTGACTTTTCCATTAACATCTAAGATAAAACAAATATGGAAGTGTAAAATGAAACCCCTGCGGGAAAATTGAGTGGAAAGAAAGAATCTGAGCAGGAGCTGGGCAGTGGTCCCCAAAGGGGTGTGTGGGGCTATGGTGCATCCACTGAGGGATAG